CTTGGACTGTTCGTGATGCTAACGGAGATGAGGAGACATGCCCTCGTGATGACATCATCACTGATCATGATGATGCTTCAGTTTTAATAAAAGTAAATCTACATGTATTTTTGATTTTACTATTAACAATTATTGTCTATTTTATTATTATTACTAGGTTGGTGATCCTGTAATTTCACTCCATCCATCATTCCCTCTCAGCTATGCTCCTGGTTAGAGCATTATAACTAATAAACAAATAAATAAATAAATAATAATTATTATTATTTATAGGTACTGTTATTGGTATAATGTCTGATGGATTAAGTTTCCTAGTTGAACTGTATGATGAAATGCAAGTATGCTATTAGCCTATTACATATCAATGATTACAAAAAATAGATGTACATGTAATTGATATTAATGAATGGTATTGTACTACTGCAGTTTGTAAATTGTAATATAGTATCTTTTATTAAACTATATATACATGTACATGTACATGTTTTGTAGGGTTTGGTGCCACGTCATGAATTATATTCATGTCCTCAGTCTAAAGTAGAGAAAGTGATTGAGTACATTAAGATACAGGAGAAGGCCTGGGTAGGTAAACCTGTCATTGCACGAAAACCAACTGACTACCTATTTTATCCAGGTTAGAAAAATAACAATATTGATAAAACATTTATTTATTATTATTATTATTATTAAGGTGTGGTTCTAAAGCAACAGGATTCATCACAAGATTTTGTCATACGTTGGTCTGATAACACCACTCATACAATTGTAAATCATTGCTATAGCTACGGTTTTTATAACAATATATTTTATTATGTGATTGCAGGAAGTGACAGATATGTTTGGCGAATTAACAAGACGACGCCCACTATACACTGATGATTATGTCATTGCATTACCAGAAGAAGGTTAAATAATTTTTTACCTGAAAACTGATGCATATAACATGATATCTGTACACTAACCATTGCTGTTAAGCTTACAGTAAATATCACTGATTGTTATTGGTCTATTAGATGATGGTGGAGGTGTGTGCTATCCTGGTAAGATCATTGGTGTGCAGGGAGAAAAGCTCATTATTCAGTTGCACAATAACAAACTGTGAGAATAGAATCCTTTTGTATTAATTTTATTTCTCTTATATACCAGTGATGTAGCAATAGCAATAAGCTACTAAAATCAAGCTATAAGCAAAAAATGTATTGTAGTGCATGAAGTAGAATCAGAAAATATTCTATTATAGCTCACTGCCTCTGCTCTGTTAAAAATGTTGCTGAGTGTATTACTAATGTACAGTAAATTTAACTTTTTTACAATTTAAAATGCAACTTCAATTATGATTATGACTTAGTTCTTTCTTATTTCTTTTTTCTAGTTGTTTAGCTTCATTTGATCATTGTTTCTGGATATCTGATTCATACTATCAAAACAGTGTACTAATGATAGGAAGAGTAAAGGAAGACACCAACAAATGAAGAAGAAAACTTGTGGCACACATTTAATAATAGACTAGATTATCAATTTATTGTCATCATAGATGTCATTGAAATAGAATGTAGAGTAGATCTTAGAATCAAAAATGTGTGGGAGTTGTTAGGTTAGGTGTGGTAACACTGTGGTCACTGGTCAGATCAGTAGACTAGACTATTTGCAACTAAAAATGTCTTTCCCTCGGTCTTTCTCTGGTTTTTTGTCTTCTCCTCCTTTTCTTTCTGAGCTAATAGAGCAGGTTGATGTTGGTACTAAGTGGTATCTCTTGGGCACACTGCTACACGTTGATAGTAAGAGATTGGATGGTTTTGAACAGCTACCAGGACATGATGATACAAGCAAGACATTAAAGATGTTTCAAC